AAGGGGTCTGAACATGATCAAAATATATTATATGAATTTCTCGAAGAATAAAAATATTTTTAAAATACATTTAAAAATTAAAATAAAAGTATTACAAGTCTTTTCATAGCTAATAGAAAAAGTAGAGAGAACAGTCCTAAGTGATGGTAAGGTTGGCAGATACAGGGGGGCTAGGATACCCATCTTACAGCCTACCTCAGAGGGTGTCTTGGCTGAAACAGCAGCTGTGGGCACAAGATCCACATATGCATTGGAAATGACAATGTTTCCAGTTTCTTGGACCTGAAAAGAGCAGAAGTGGGGGGATGGGAAGAAACAGTTCACTCTGGTAATTTACAATTTCATTAAAGGAAATTCATGTCTTTATTTGAAATGAAAGCCAAATAAAATGAAAGATCAATAAAGTAAATGATAAAATGAACAGACGTGAAGGCTTTCTGATTTAATATAACTGATATTAACTGTGGCTATAGAATCAATGCAGGGAGGGAGGAAGGAAGGAAGGAAGGAAGGAAGGGGCTTTGATCAGGTTCCATCTTCCAAAACACTAACTTAAATGATCTAGGATGGTACCTGGGCACTGGTATTTGGGGGATTTCCTTTCCCAAGCATAAGCATATTAGGAGGGGGGGTGGGGGGGAAGCAGTCAACAGTAATAAGTAATAAGACAGGGCACAACACTTATATAAGGAAGAACTCAAGAGTAACTTTATTCTGTTGATATAGAATAAATTGGCTAAGAACGGATGACACTTTTATTAAGCAGTACTTCTAGGATTTGTTTCAAATCAGAAATATGCATACAAAGTATATACCTAAACATCTTTTTATCACAGCTGTCATTAAAAAAATGTAACTCCTAATCCTTTATTTCAAATTATTCTAGTAACTATTCTTTCATAAAAATTATTGCAAAACAGGCTTATAATCTGAGCACTTAAAAGGCCAAAGCAAGGGGGCTACAAGCTGAAAGCTAGCATGGACTAACTGCACATTTCAGACCATGCTGGACTAAAAATGAGACCCTAGCTAGGCATTATTTACCTCTTTCCTCTCTCTCCCTGTCTAACCCTCCCTCCACACCCTCCCCAGTTAAAGTACCCCCATTTTCCTCATTTCCCCCTCAGCTAGTGTGAAAAAAAAACAGAGGGATTTGTATTGGTCTAAAAATCTATTGAAAAATTACACATACGATATCTCTACATGAGTCCATGTGTATAGCTGAAAGCTACATAACAAGAAACAGTGCCAGACAGGAGAAACCTTCCTTTGAAATGTTGGCCAGGGTAGTCCAAGAGACTCCCAGAATTACACAGGTTATTGCCACAGCCCTTGCTTATGTCCCAGAACTTGAAGGTAAGACCCTTCAGACACAAGATTTTGCGCAATGGCGCTGGAACTGACTTGGAAGCCACCTCCCCTGAAGGCTAGCTCTCATAGTTTTGGAGAGCACTACACAGGGTGCTAAAGGAGAACATCAATCAATGGTCCAATCCCAGTTTTAAGGCCTAATAACCACAACAATGACTGGCACACAAACTATATTGAGGCAGTAGTAGCACTTTTATCTTGGGGGGTAATCAACAGCTACCTAATTGGACTTAAAGTCCACTCAATGGGAGGACACTCATTTGTGGTACTGTAAACATAGTCAAATACACATGGCTGGAGAGGTTATAGATCTTAGAGAAAACCCCAAGGCTGTCACATCCCTAGACTATGTGCAAAATACAGGTTATTATATTTATGAACAAGTATCCCAGTCGCCACTCATCGAAGAAGCTTCTTTTGCAACATGGAGATTATTACAGAGCTCCACAACTGGTCACATACAGAGATTGTCTGTGAATTTCCCAACTCTAAGTGACATATCCACAATGCAACTCTCCACTTTAGGCTCACAAAACATAGTGGAACAAGGGGTAGTGAGAACACTAATGCATCTCTCAACTCTTATCAACGAAACTCCCTCGTGCAACAGACGGCCATGAACACAAAAGGACACAAATGGCTAAAGCATAGAGAATACGAGTCTGCAGAGTGTGGACAGGACTTGGACAGGACTCCTATATTAAACTGCACCCACCCAGGGCTCAGGGACCATTTCAGACGAAAGGACAGAAAGATGTAAGAGCCAAGGAGGAGGTACATGACCATATGGAAATAGAGTCCTACAGGCTCCTGGGACCCTGCTCATATGAACCTACAGCAATGGTGTCAGCATGTACAAGACCCATGCGAACTCAAGCAGACAGAAACCCAGAACAGTTCTTTTCATTTTTTCCTTGTTTCATGGTGCTAGGCTTGAACCTAGGTCCAAGTGCATAGTAGGTAAGTGCTCTGTTACATCCTCAACCAGTTTGTGCATGTTCCCATTTTTAAATAAGACGAGGAACTCCAGAACTGGCAATGAACAGCATTTGCATAATATGGGCAACACCCTGGGTTCAATTCCCAGCACCGCAGTGCCAACAAAAAAAATTTTAGGCAAGACAATTAGAAAATAAAGGAGTTCCAGAATAAGTGGATATTAACAGATATTAACTGAAAGAAGGTTTCAGAGAAAGCCAGTGTGTGTGCACGTACGAGTGGGAAAGAGGCATAAGGCTGGGGAACTGCATGGGATGGGTTTGCTGGTGTATGCCTGCGATACCAGCACTTTGAAGAAGAGGCAGGAGAACTGCAAGTTGCTAGGCCAGCATAGGCTACAGAATGAGACCCTGTTTAAAAAACTCAGAAACTGCCCTTAAGTTAAGGCAGAACTGAGGCCTTTAATATAGGAGGAACTTGCAAAATAAAAGCTGCATAAAGCAAGAAAGAAAATGATGCTGTAAGCAGCTGGAAAGAATACTAAAAGCAGTTATCAATTTATAGAAAAACAATATGGCAGAAAGCGGCCCTGGGATCTGAGTCCAGCTAGGTTTATGTGCCTGCTCAAATACTTGCAATGTGGCCATCAGCAAGTTATTTCTGATATCAAGACTTCCTTAGGAATATAGATTTTCTTATATTTCAATGCAGAGTTGCTATACATATTAAAGACAACACTGCTTACAGCGCCAATAAATAAAAGTTACTACCATTATTACTAGTTATTAAGCCTGCTCTGTGTAATACAGAAGGAATTGACAGAAAATTATTAGCCGGTTTACTATGGCAACAAAAGTTGTTTTTAAACTGTTATTAGTAAAACAATGATTGAATTCTCTTTTAGTGCTATACTAGAATATCACTAAGTCTCCCAAAATTACTTAAATTGACAGGGACAAACATCTTTAATGCCCCGTTGGTTATTATTAATTAGGCCCAGGTTCTATAATACAAGATATTAATTTATAGATTTTTGTGTGATCAAAATGCACATGATTTCTGTCTAGGAAAAAACTATAAAGGATGTAACTTCATTGTTCCCTAGAACATTTACTAGGTTCATCTCTAACTCAGCAAAATTAGTTGGCAATGCCTACATAAATTGTTACACTATGTAAACTGTTGTTGTAATTCTTTTTTGAATTAGGTTATAAGATCTATCATTAATACATTAGAGAAAAAAATTTTAAATGTACATAAGGTATCTTAATTTTACTGAAAAATCAGTATTAACAACAAGAAAACATTCCCCAGTTTCTCTCTCATATAGCCCTATTACTAACCACAAAAATGTCAACAGAGAACAAAATTGCAGTGTGGTAAGGAGGGTAACAAAGCAAATAACCACCAACTCTGAATCATACCTTGGTTTGAAAATGAATTCTGTTTCCTTCCTTCCACATCTCAGTTTCTAGTGTTTGTCCTGGATATACTGGTTTGGCAAAACGAACCTTTTAAAACAAGAGTTTAGGGTTAAAAGTCTTTAAAATGAAACTCCTCTACTTGGTAAATTTTAGAGAGGTCAGAATAAAAGAAAGTAGAGATTTAAATATTAATATTCATAAAAGAAACAAAAATATGAAGAATTAGTGGAGAAAGGGTTCAGAGAGAACTGCATACACTTTACATAAGCTAGTTCTTTGTCTTTCAAAATACAGAATCAGGGCTGGGAACATAGTTCAGTGGTAGAGTGCTCAAATAGCATATATGAGACCCTCCATTCAATTCTCAGCACTGCAAATGAAAGAGGGGAGGGAGGGGAAGGGAGTACTGTGATCACTAAGTAGCATTTTATCACAACAGATCAAAAGCCAAAACCATAATCCTACAGGTAGTTATACGGAGAGCCACCAGAACTTTAAAGCATTCAAAGTGGCACTAATTAATCTGGGGGTTAAAGTCTCAGGAGAGTAAAATATTTCCACATTTTAGATCATAATCTTCTACATTACCATGCTGAATATGTATGCACATTATTGAATAAAAATAGTTGTAATTAAATAAAAACATAAAAATAATTATTAAGGGCAATGCATCAGAAAATGTTCCTTGACTGTTACTTGGAGAATAAACTAATCTTCTGGAGCTATTAAACACTGCCCTATTTCAAATATTCATCTTCTGACTTAAGCAAAAATATTGTAAGCATAAATATTTTCCTTTGTTATTAACAAAATGAGTTTAGAAACAATAAAATCTTGAAATCAACTCCTAAGTACAAAACTAAAATCAAAATGTACCTATCATAATGCTATAGGTATTTATTCAGCCACATTTTCTGTTAAAGTAAATTACAAAGCAGAAATAAAGCAAATCTTAAGTTTTGAAAGTATGCATAGATACTGATATACATCTAATTTATAAAACAATCTAATCTATTAAGACTGTGGCTATGAAATCTTCATGTTGTATGGGTGGTAGAGTTATATATAGCTACAGCAAGGAAGTATGTTGATTGACAACTCACTGCATTATTAAAAATGTACATTACTATAATGCAGTACTTAAGTTATTAAAACTTTTTCTTTGATGATAGAAAAAAAGAACATTCAAAAATTATGTAATAGGGGGCTTGAGAGATGGCTCAGTGGTTAAGGGCACTGCTGTTAGTTCCCAATACCCATGTGTTGGCTAACAGACATCTGTAACTCCAGTTCCAGGGAATCTAATGCCCTCTTCTGACCTCTGTGGGCATTGCATGACAAGGGTGCACTTACATACATGCAGGCAATATACTTACACACATGAAATAAAAATAATAAACAAAATGTTTTAAAATTTATAATAGGGACTGGAGAGATGGCTCAGTAGTTAATGACTGCTCTTGTAGAGGACCTGGGTTTGATTTCCAGCACCCAGATGGTGGCTAACAACCATCTGTAACTCCAGTTCCAGGGAATCTGATGCCCTCTTCTAACTTCCACGGGCACTGTACAACACAGGTGCACTTACACACAGGCAGGCAATATACTCATACACGTAAAATAAAAATAAATAATCTTTTAATTATGTAATAGATACATACCTTAATTGCCTTGAATCTTGATACATCATTATCTGCAAACTGCTGTAAAACATGTCTTGCAGAAAATCCAAAGGTACACAATCCATGTAATATAGGCTTATCAAAACCTAGGAAAATTCAGATAGATACAGGTACTCTTCATATATAAAAACAAAGTATATATTTAGCATTTTTTAAAATTATGTCTTTAAACTGCAATAGCATGAATCATACCATCTACTAAAAAACATAAAACAACATTAAGGGTGGTGTACACCTTTAATCCCACCACTTGGGAGGCAGAGGCAGGCCGATCTCTGTGAGTTCAAGGCCAGCCTAGTCTACATAGTGAGCTTCAGGTCAGCTAGGGCTATAGGGAGACCCAGTTTCAAAGAGACCACAAAAGAAAGAAAGAAAAGAAAGGAGGAAGGAAGGAAGGAAGGAAGGAAGGAAGGAAGGAAGGAAGGAAGGAAGGAAGGAAGGAAGAGAGGGAGGGAGGAACAAGAAGGAAGGGACATACTTTGTAGATAGTACTTCTTAGGAGAAATTAAGATATTAACAAAAAGTTTAAAAAAAAGAATTAATGTTAAGAGATGTGGGAACACAAAGAATTTTTTTTGTTTAGTTTTGCTTATGAATGAAATCATCCACGCTGAGTTATTTCAATGTCCATGTGCCTAAATAATCTCTAACTTTTCAAGTTCCTGCTTGCTCCTCTAATGACCTGGCCCTCAAGATAACTCAACATCCTTCCCCACAGTCTTATTTCTAGACCTTACAACTGATCCGGATTTCAAGATACCAGACACCATTTTCTAAACACTTCCTACCTTTCCACATTCTCTACATAAATATGAGAAATGTCTTTAAAATGCTATTCAAATTACTAGTCATAAGTAGCACTGTCTTTAAGTATATTATTTAGGTAACTGAGCTAATACTTTTCATTGATACACTCTATTTACAACTCACCAGCAATGCTAGCAAAGTTAGGGTCAATGTGTAAAGGATTCCAGTCTCCACTGAGACGGTACAAAGCAGCCTGTGGAGAAAAATTATCACTAGTACTCAGTGTTTTCTGAAAAGGCATTCAATGCAAATTAGGAAACATGGTCAGCTATTAAGTAAAATACATAATGTACCTCATTCGGACTCTGATTTAAAATAAAACATTTCTTACAAAAACAAGATTATCTATAAATAAAAATATTTTAATAGTCTGTTACTAAGATCAGCAGGGTGGGGGATACAGTAGCAAAAATGGACACCAAGAATTACACACCACTGCCCAAGGGGAAATTCCCAAAAAGGAATCTACCAATTTTATTCTCACTAAAACACAACGAAGATAAAGGTTTATAGTCACTTCTACCCAAGAAAATTTATGCTAATTTCCTTAATGTTCTTTTTTTCATTTGAAGCCTATAACATAATACTAGTCAGATAAATTATCAAAGATTTCTAACAAAGTTTCATCTTTCTGACACACAAATCCTGAATATTAGCTCACCATGTAAGAAAAGAGACCAAAGCTTGCCAGTATGATTCAATTTATGCACAGCCCAGATTTTCGCAGTAATAATTTAGTTAGGAATGGGGGGGATCGGCAGAAGGAGGGAGATAGCAACCAGCAAAGTCCTCACACTTCCAGGTCTAAATGTGCAGGTTTCAAACTAGGGAGCACTGTTCAGAACTGACAGGAAGAAATTCACAAAACAGCTATTTACTACATCTTTATAATAATTTACAATTGTCCTTATAACAGTACTCAGTGCTGGGTTGGCCTCAAGACTTTCCCTTTAACAAGTTTGATTTATAGAAAACTTTTCACTTTTAATGGCTCACTATTCTTTCCTGTACTTATGTTCTTCTAATTGTAAATAAATCAATAATTATTGAAACTAGTTACTTACAAGATTCTTATGTTAAAAGTTTAAATGATTATTTTTTTAAAAGCCATGTTTACAAATAGTAAATGTGCATTACTATGTACAATTAAAGCAAAGACATACTTCAGAGCCTCAAAGTTAAGTTGTCAGACACAAGCTAGGTAATTGTTAAAGCTAGGCTTTGACACCAGGGGACTTGGGTTGACACCCAGTCCTATTACTACTAAGTTTCTTGACCATTTAAAAAAATTAATACATTAACACAACTTCCTTTCAGAGAGCAGCTGGAAAAATTAAGTTAGATAAAACTTATAGGGTATTACTTCGATCAAAGTTGGCTATTATCTAAATCTTTTTATAAAGTTTTGGCAACAATGTAAGTCAATGAATTCTAAGGTTAGCACTGGTACTTTATCACACTGATACTTCTTTAAGTAAAAAAGAAGCCATCTTCTACAAAGTCATGTTAGATAATACCAGCAGTTTCATATTAGGCGGTAAAGTTAGCCACCAAAACAAAGATTTGTCATGACAAATAACAAGCCAATTTGCTGATGTCTGAGTAAATTCAACCATTACACAAAATAGGGGTTCCCTACTAAAAAAGAAATAAATATTTTCTACATATTATTGAAGGACTCATTTATCTCAGAAAGAAAACTCAAGTTTTCTCTCATTTCCTTTCTGCACATGTGTGAAAGTCATTACAAATAACAACCAAACAGAAAAAGAAACACAGCTATCTATTGTATTTAAAACCCTCTATATATGCAGAGAAAATTTAATTTGCCTTTTAAAACATCATTAAATTAAACTTAAATGATAAATGAGAAATCTTTCAAATTGGACTTCCTCAGTCCTCCCTCTGAAAAAGTACACAGATCGAGAAGCAGAACAAATAAAAACACAACTAAAAGACAGAGAGCACCACAAACGTCAAATCCTAATACGTTGCAAAATGGGCCGATTTCCAGCAGTGTTGTCACCTGTACATTCTAAAAGGTGCTGAGAGCAGAGGTGCTGGCAGTGCAGAAGTGCACGGAGAGAGAAGAGGAAACCAAGGAAAATCACTCCCAGATAAACATCTACATCATGAAAAAGAACCCTGGAAGATTAGAGCACAAGCTACACACGAAAGAACTATGGAGCCACAGAAAGTCATGTCTCTGGGAGATGAGGATAAAACAAAAATATGTCCTCAAGAGCTGGCTGGTAAACAAAAACGCACCAAGAGGGGAATTTGAGACCCTGAAAGATAAAGAGAACTAAAAAGTCTTTTAAAAATAAAACACCTCCCTATAGTACCCAATTCCTAAAAGCCACCCATTTTAAAAGCTGCAAATAGCACTTTGCTACTGGGAAAGAATAGAGCAACTTCAAATGAGCACTCTCGGAAGCTGGACCAGAAGCTTTATTTACAGAAGGCAACAGAGGTAAGCAGATTTTTTAGTTTTGAAGGACTCTAATTTTCTAGATTGCTGCCAATTACCTTATTTCTCTTTCTTCAGGCACTGCAGAGTGCTGAATCTCTGAAGTCTTCTCCCAACTACTTTCTAGTCTTTTCAGTTCCCACCTATTTCCATTTTGTTTTTCATAGGTTTTTTTTTAACCTCTTCACTATTACTATCTAATTTTAAAGTTTTTGACTGTTGTCTTTCTCTATCATATGTTTTCTTAATAGCAGAGCTTATCTCTCCTATTTTTAAGGTTTCCATTTGGGGATGTATTACTTTTATTTCTTCAGAGCATCAGCATTGTGTATTATTTCTACCCTTCCAGAATCACAGGCTCAGGTTTGCAGTTGGCTATTTCAATCCTTTTGTCAGTGTTTCTCAGTCACCTCTTGGCTAGATGAAGCTCTTCCTTCACGTAAGGGGGGAATGTTAGAGTAGAACAAAGCCCCATTTAAAAAAAAAAAAAAAAGACAGAAAGAAAGCACACAATATTGTCAGAAAAAAGTGATGGGGAGATATCAGATGTATTGGAGGGGAGGAAGGGAGCATGGATTTGATCAAAACACCTTATATGCATGTATGAAACTCTCAATAAAGTTTTTTTAAAAGTTAAAAAAAAAAAAAAAAAGAGCTTCTGGTTCGGATCACCATCAATGTAGCAGCTCAGATCTCAGCAGACCACCAGAGAGTGCCGAGTTCTGGCCTCCCTCTGGCCAGTCGTTACTTGCAAACCTTTCTGTAATGAGTGTCCCTTCTCTGTGTGCCTATAACACTAACTCTACAAATCAAAGTCTTATATTCAGTTTTTCATTGTTTGGGATACGGTGCCTTATGAACTATACTTTCAGACATACAGAAGTATGGGGCATTCAAATTATAACAGGGCAGCAGCATCTTCCATCACTTGCAGTTCAAAACTGCAATCTTACCTGATTAAGGGAGGTGGTGTCTCTCAGTATAATGTCAGGAGGTCGTCGAGGTACGGCTATGGCTTCCTGAAGTCAAAAGACATATGTTCAACTTCAATATGAAGCACTGTGATTCTCTGAACAAAAACTGACATTTGATAAACAACCATGTTTAAATACAATAAATTCTGCAAATGGATAAAAGAGTTTCTTTCTAAAACTTTTTATGTTCAGAGGAAAATGACATTTAAATTTTCCTAACTACTAACTTCTTATAAATTACAATTTCACTGAAATGACTTTTTTCAATATAAAGAATTATATAATCAGATCTATTCTCCAGGTCATAAAGAAAAAAAAAAAAAAGAACAGTTTTTCCTATGTATAAAGATGATGACAACTCTAAGAATTAACAATATAAATGTATTCAGTCTTTAAAATTGGTCTTTTAAGCCAGGTGTGGTGGGGCACATCTTTAAACCCAGCATTTGGGAGACAGAGGCAGGTAGATCTCTGTAAGTTCAAGACCAGCCTGGTTTTCATAGCAAGTTCCAAGCCAGCCAGTGCTGCATAGTGAGACCCTTTCTCAAAGCAAAATAACAACCAAAAAAAAAATGGTCTTTAAAACTCCTTACATACTTTAATTTGCCATGTTAACAAAATAATACATTTTAATCGACTTTTTAAGACTTTTATTATTTTTAGTTATCTTATGAGTGTGGGTTTGTACATGTGAGTGCAGTGCCTATGGAAGTCAGAAGGCATTGGATCCCCTAGAGCTGGTTACAGGTACTTGTGAGCAACCCAAAACAGGTGCTGGGAACTGAACGCGGGTCCTCTGCAAGAGCAGTTATGTGCTCTTACCCACTGAGCATCTCTCCAGCCCCAATAATACACTTCTTCAAAAAACTTAAAATTACTAACCTCACTTAGTGCCAACAAGCAAAACAACTGATAAAAGAGTAGCTTGTATAAAGAATATAAGCACAAATTTATGCTTGATTTAAACCATAGTGTGTGTGTGTGTGTGTGTGTGTGTGTGTGTGTGTGTGTATCCTCACTGGCTGAATTGCATTCAGACAGTTAACATCTACTTTGTAGTTATTTATAACAGAAATAAAACATTACTCATTTTGTCTCTATCATACAAATTTTCTATAATAGAGGCAGCTCTTCTAATTACAGTGTTGATACTTTTTCATTACGAAAATTAATTTTCCATTATTGAAATGCCAAGCTTAACTATATTACCAAATTTATCCCACAAATTTTATTTATTAACTTTTATTTTCAATTATATATACGTGTGTGTCTGTGTGGCGGTCTGTGCATGTGCGTAAGGTACCCACAGAGGTCAGAAGAGGGTGTCAGATCCCCTGGACTTGGAGTTACAGGTAGCTGTGGGTCACCCAATGTGGGTTCTGGGAACTGAGCTCAAGTCCTCTACATGCTCTTAACTGCTGAGCCTTCTCTCCAGCACATTTTTAAAGACTGACCACAGGTATTATACCCCTTCTTTGTCTCTGAAGTATGTAGTGCGTTTTGTAGAATTTACTGGTGTGTTTTCAGTTCATTCTACTAGTTTTGGAGCAATGATATCTGGAGAACAGATTTCACTCTTCAGTCTTATACATGAGTAGTCCTTGAGGTGTCTTCCAACTTTCTGCGTATCTCTTCTTCCAAAAAAATCAATTCTAAACCACATACACAAACACATGTGCAAAAACTATGTAGGATGGGGAATGTTGTCATAATGTTGTTAACTTTGCTTTATTTATTAACATTTGGTTTGTGTATACATAAAATAAGCCAAACCCACCTCAGAAAGACACATTCATTTTTGGAAGCTAGTGAGTCAATATTGAAGAATGACATAATCTGAGCGTATTGGCCCACTCTGGGAGTCTGAGGCAGGAGGACTACCATATGTTTGAGGCCAGTCTGCTGTACAGAATGAGACTCTGTCTTTAAACCAAAAGAAGGGGCTAGAGAGATGGCTCAGCAGCAAAAATGGCATACTGCTCTTGCAGAGGACCCAAGTTCAGCTCCCATCACCAACACTGAGCCTCCCATGCCTCTGGCCTCCACAGTCACTTGCACATATACTGACACACATAAAAAAACAATACATACATAAGATTAAAAAAAAAAAAAGAAGGGTCTGGAACAATGGCTCAGCAGTTAAGAGCACTGGCTGTTCTTGCAAAGGACCTGAGTTCAGTTCCTAACACCTATATGACAGCTATCAAAACCATCTACAACTCTACAACTTCAATTCCAGGGGATCCAGCACCCTCTCCTGCCTCTGTGAGCACTGCACATATGTGGTGCACTTACTACCTGCAGACAAAATACTCATAGACATAAAACAGAAATATTTTTTAAATGGAAGGAAGGAAGGAAGGAAGGAAGGAAGGAAGGAAGGAAGGAAGGAAGGAAGGAAGGAAGGGAAGGAAGGGAAGGAAGGAAAGAAAACAGAACAGTGGTCACTAGAAACAGGAAAAGGAACATGAAAGAAGTGTGATAACGGACACCAGAGCACAGCAGTATGGAGTAATTACTTTGATTTTTCGCTACCACAGTAGAATATAGGTTAAAATAGGTTAAAACAATCTATATTTCAAAATGACTAGAAAAGTATAAAATTCCCAATACATAAAAATGATCAATGTTTGAGGATATGTAAATGCTTTTATTCTGATTTATTACATATTGAACATATATATGTACTTCATTTCCATAATATACCTCCATAAAAAATTATGTCTAAAAAAATGAACATGTCTTACCTTGACTTTCTCTGATGTCCGTTTTCCACCAAAGCCCCCAGAGCCAACAACAAAGACTGAGAACTGATTATAGCATATAAGTTCCTTCCCAGAGTAAGAATAGACTATAAAATAAAGGGGAAGAGAATTAATACCAAAAGATATGCTACTTATCCAAGATAGGCCTAACAATTCCTTTAAAAGTTTCAGAAATAAAGTCAGTTAGTGAAAAGATGTAAAATGTACAATGTCCATGTCTGGATTACAAGACACTTGCTGAGTGCACTCACCACCAGGCTCTGGAAGGCAGAAAGAGCTTTACAACCAGTTTACTCCGAAATAGCAGATTTTTTACTTCTTAAACCTCCCCAACTACTGCCTATATTTCCTTTATTTCATCACAAACATTTCAAGCAATTCCACTGGAAAGTGCAAGCTGCCACACTCAAACCTTGAAGTATTCTGTCAGCATTCAAGAAGAGCACGGACTGTAAAGGAGAAAGTCAGTGGCAATGGGAAGACAGGCATCAACCCAGGACACACACTGGGCCGTGCTGCCACGGTCTATCCCCAGAGAGAAGATGAGCGCCCAATACAAAACCGGCACCTTGTAAATGTTTATTATGTTAACCTGTAAGTCAGTAAATGAACATGGGACCAAGTTAGCAAAAGAACGAAATGAGAGGCTGCCCCTCAATTTAGCCATGTTTTCAGTATGCTTCATATCTAGTTCTAAAACTTGGAATATGATTTTTTGATTTGCAAACTGAGAAAAAAAACTAATTATAAGGAAAAGAAAGTATATTCAATATTCATAGGCACTTATGTTTAAAATGAGACTGTTACCTTTATTACAGGAGAAGATACTGCAACTCATTACCAACTGAAGTTGAATAAATGGAGTAGATCAAGATAGAATAGCAAAAATTTAAAGGAGGTTACTCCAACTTCTATGTTATGTCAGTTTGGGTACAATGAGGAGAAAATGAAAAGAAAACCACGGGAATTCTGACCAAATGTTGGCCAACATCTGGAGACAAACATGAAAACTTAAAAACAGAAAAGATAGAGGAAGAGGAAGGAGAAGAAGAAGTTATCAGGCATAATACTGAAGAGCACCAAAACCATTTCCATATATTAGCAAGAAAAATCAAGGAAAATTTCAAAACTGCACAGTGCAAGAGGACCCTGACTTCAAGGGTACAATTTACAATTTTTCAGTTTTACAATGCTATAAATGCTATATATTCAGTACTAATTGTACTTCAGATTTCTAACTGATTTTGGGGGGGGCGGCCAGGCTAGCAATGTACAGTATGATAATTTCTTCCAATGTGACTGTGAATCACAAGGTGAGCAATCAATCCTCTAAAGTGTGCTGCTGAACTAAAAAGCTATAGAATTTAGTGAGTCAGATGTATTAAAGATGTGTATATACGTGTATGTGTATATGTGTTGCTGGAAAGTGACCCCCAAGGCCTTGCTCATGCTATGCAAATGCTCTACTACTGTACTTTTGTACTTTTGAGACAAGGTCTCACCATTTAGCTCGTTAGCATTGACAGTAATCCTCCTGTCTCAGCATCCAACTCATGCTTTCATTGCATTTTTTGCCTAAGATATTTCAACTTATGATGAGTTTATCAGGGTGCAACCCCATGGTAAGTCAAGGAGCTCGTGTATAATCTCCTATATTTACCAAAAAATGACACATCAGACAATAACTGAAATGTCTACTGTTCCTCATTTCCAAAATTTTGGTGACATTTATTTCTTTTCTTCTTTTGTTTCACTGTTGGTGTTAGGGGTGGTGATTTGGTTTGGTTTGGTTAGGTTTTTTGAGAAAGAGTCTCCCTGTAGCCACAGCTGGCATAGAACTTGATCAGGTTGACCTCAATCTCACAGAGCTCTGCCTGCCTCTGCTCCCAAGTGCTGGAATTAAGGAGTGTACCGCCACACCCAGCGAATATTTTTCTTCTTAAAAGTGAAATTTAAGTATGATGTCTTTAGCTTACCTTTAATTACTAGTATTTTAATGTTTATTAATTCAATATTTATTAAACTACTATAAGTTTTTTTTTATTTGTTTTGTTATGTTTTTTGAGTCAGGGTCTCCCTACAGCTGGCCTGGAACTCACAATGTAGACCAGGGTGGACTCAATCTCACAGACATCCACCTGCCTCTGCCTCCTGAGTACTGTCCTACAGCAGAGAAAATGTGGCTATGTTTTTTAAAACACATTATGAGTTCAATAGACTTAAATGCACAGTCTGGAAATCTAACTACTATCTAGAAGAATCAAGTTCCAAAGAGCTAACACAGAAACTATCAGTAATAGAGTCTGACTGCATCAGTTCAGAGCTATGTAATATATCTCCCATCAAAAACCCTACTCCAGTAGGTATAACTCCTTTTTATGATTTGTGTACAAGCCTCATTTCTCATTTCTGTGCTTTGGTTATGTTGTCTAAACCCACTGAAATGTCCCACCTTCCCTAGCCCTAGCTCCAAGCTACTTTCCGCCCCCTTCCTTATTTTTCTTAGAGTCTATAAAAATTTTAAATGCTTACCTTGCATTTATTTTTCTTCCTTATTTTTCTTAGAGTCTATAAAAATTTTAAATGCTTACCTTGCCTTCTTAAAAATTGGAAAATGAATAGAAACTTCTGAATCAACTTCTGTGGTGAAATATGCTACATACAAAGCTTATCAATCTAATGATATTATAAAAACCGAAAATGAGTTACCATCCATAATAATCACTATGCCTGATCCCTTATCCAGGATGTCAGCAACAACTGCTTCACATTTTAGTTCTCCTAAAATGAAAAGTAAATAATTTCATTAACACACAAAAAAGAATTTAACATGGTTTCTATTTGTTTCAACAAAATTAAAACATTATGGTTTGAAATATTTTTCCTAAACTCACTACAAAAATTTTTTTTTCAATTATCCATAATACTCTAAATCTGAAACATCAATATTTCTGAGAATTTTTTTTTAAATAGCCACTTCAGGGGCTGGAGAGATGGCCCAGCAGTTAAGAGCATTGGCTGCTCTTGCGGTGAACCTGGATTCAGTTCCCAGTATCCATATAGTGGCTAACAACTGTCCATAATACCAGTTCCAGGGAATCCAACACCCTCTTCTGACTTCCACATGCATTGCACCCATTGGTTCATTTACATACATGCAAGCAAAATACTCATATACATAAAGTAAAAAGTATCAAAAAATAATCATCATTTCTAATGTCAGTGATGCCTCCTGCAAGGTCACTCAAGACTAAATGAGCATCAAACCATCATCCTTATTCACTCTCAAATCTCTTTGGTTTCACTGAGACATTCTAATTACTCTTTTCTTTCCTGAACTCTTTATTTCTCATTGGTTAAATTCAGTGAGTCATAAAACAAAAACAAAAATTTAAAAAGATCCTTGTTAGGAGGAAGGAGGAAGATTGGTATAAGGTGGGAGAGGATGGGGTAGAGTGTAAAATGTGACCAGAACATAATTATCAAGAAGAATAAATTCATTCTTTTTTTGTCTTTTTTTTTTTTTTTTTTTTTTTTTTTTTTTGTCTTTTTTGAGACAGGGTCTCCCTGTAGCCCCAGCTGGCCTGGAACTCACTATGTAGACCACGCTGGCCTTGAACTCACAGAGATCCACCTGCCTCTGCCTCCCAACTGCTGGGATTAAAAGCATGCGCCACTACACTTGGCTTAATAAATTTATTCTTTTAAACCCTGATTTTCTTTTTTGTTCTCTTTAAGACTGAATAGGGGACTGGAGAGATGGCTCCGCAGTTAAGAGCACTGACTGCTCTTGCAGAGGCAATACACTCATACACATAAAATAAAAATAATAAAATATATATAAAAAAGACTGAATGGGATTAAGCATCCAATTGCCGAACCATACATCTAGCATCGGTCTTGACTCACAGAAAGCAAACACATGTTAATACTTAAAATGTGCAGAAATAGAAGCTAAATCACAGGAAAAACCTTCAACTTAATCCCAAAGTCTGTGGATGGCTACTTGTTTTTACAGGGAAACAGCAAACACGTGTGCATCTTAGAAACAGCACTGTGGCTACAGTGAGGTGAAAGGCCCTGAGCAGAGCAGGAAAGAAGGCAGAGGACACCAAGAAGGGGAGGGGAAATCAAATCCAGAGAGAAATGGAAGTGGAGGTAGACAGAAACAAGATTTCCAGACATATTGAAGACAGAAAACCAAGTACCTTCATAAGTATCTCAGATGGAAGATGGTAAGTAAAAAGCAAAGCATTACAAGGCCAGCCACCATGTTTGCCTGAACCCAATCTGTTTGCATAACTCTCTGTCTAAAGTCCTTCAGTACCTACTGACTGCCTTCAGAATGCAATTCACAGTTCTTTACCTGACTTTCAGGGCCTATGAAGACCCTTCTTACCTCTCTCTCTCTATTCTCAAATCTTGCTAGACTCCCAACATGCCCTGGAGGAAGGTCAAACTGTTTTCAGTTTCCCTAACAGTCAGTGCCTTTTCCTACTTCCACACATTCCACACAGTGTTCCTCTGCCTGAAATATTGTTCTAATTTCATCTTTACATTGTTAATATTAATTCAACCTTCAGATCTCATTTCCACCCAGAAGCGTCTCCCACTCTCAAGTTCAGCTCCAGGATAGAGGGCCCCCTCTGTGACCTATGCACATCTATACTTCTCCCATTATAAAGCACTGCATAGTGTTCACCATTTCCCAGCTCCTAGACAGGTTACAGTGAGTAAACAAGAGCACTGTAAACAAAGATAAGGCCTTCTTCATGATAATGCCAACCCCTAGCAGAATGTCTGGCACATAGTAGGTGCATAATAACTACTAAACAAGAGAATAATTCCTGACAATTGTTTTCTAAATGTGAAATGTAACAACACTCCATTGTTTTACCATCTTATACTGGACAACATTCTGACATCAAAACAAACAAAATTATAATGAAAGAATAAAACGATGAGGCCAGGGATGTAGCTCAGTTAGTAGAGTGCTAGCCTAGCATGCATGAAAGCCTAGGTTCAAATCCTAACACCACATAAGCTGGCTCATGCCTGTCATCCCAGTACTCGGGAGGTGGAGACAGGAGAATCCCAAGAACAAGGTCATCCTCTGCTAGAGATCAAGTTTGAAGCCAGCCTGGGCTACATAAGACCATATCTCAAAAACAGTATAAATAAATAAATAAAAAGAGAACCACTGGTAAACAATCAATATATTATTAAGAAAAGAAAAAAACTGCTATTAGGTAGTTTGGTTCTCTTCAAAAGAAATGGGAAAACAATGACAAATGTTGTACCTTTCAGCATTGCTTGCTTTATAAAAATCAGTATTAAAACAATCACAGGAATCACAATTGCTACATAATCACTAAGTTTAAAACACATATAAAAATGTTCCTTTTAGAGTTGGAGAGATGGCTGAGCAGTTAAGAACACTGACTGCTCTTGCAGAGGACCTAAGTTCTGTTCCCAGCACCTACATGGTGGCTAACAACCATCTGTAATTCCAATTCCAGGGGATCCAACACTGTCTTCTGACCTCCACCAGCATTGTACCACATGGGTGAATTTACACATATGCAGGCAATATACTCATACACATAAAATAAAAATAATAAAATATCTTTAAATGTTCCTTTCAGTTGTTAATGGCACATACAGCAATATAATAAGCTGGTAGTATTACAAAATAACATAATAGAACTGTTAATGGAACAAAATTAACATACTCAACATAGCTACTAGTTAACATCAGTCTACTCTGATGTCTTGCTGGGTTGGTCTATGCCAGTTTAACACAGGAAGATGGCTTGGGAGGTTAATAATGAGAAAATTAAAATACTGTATTATGCAATTAGTTCATCATGAACTCACCTGATCGAGGAAGTGGTTTATATAACTCTAGGTATTGCTCCCCATGAAGAACCTACGTTAAGACAAATAAATTTTATTAGCAAACGTTCCTGTTCCAGTTTCTGTGAGTACTGCTAATCACAGTGACAGTTTACTATCCACATGACTATGTCAGTGCTCCTCTTGTATTATCCCACTGTGGCCTTTACTTCTTAATCATGCAATTCAGAAATAATTAGCACACCAGACTAAAGACAGACAAACAGATCTTTTGGAGCAGAGAAGATGTATTTGTGTTCTTCCTTAGGATTTATGAATCCCTGCTGACTAATGCCTGATTTGCCAACAGAGACATTAAACTAGACTCTATTCCTGGTACTTTTAATAGTGCCTAGAACATATCAGGCATTCAGTAAATATTTGCTCAATCAAAGTGAACCAATGAGCCAGTGCTGGTAACCTCAGGTCACATATACCAGAGAGGACTCAACTAAAACACAAAGATAAACCTTACAACCATATAAAAGGAAAAAGCATCATCAATGTCAACATTCCCTTTATACTGTATTTAAAAAGTAAAAACTGGGGCTGGAGAGATGGCTCAGTGGTTAAGAGTACTGGTTGCTCTTGCAGAAGACCCAGGTTCAATTTCTAGCACCCACACGGCAGCTAACAACTGTCCGTAAGTCCAGTTCCAGGGGATCCGACACCCTCTTCTGACCTCCACGGGCAGTACATGGCATGAGTGCACCTACCTACAATCAGGCAATACACATAAAATAAAAATAATAAAATAAAGTAAAAACTAAATACACTTTATAAGTAAACAGTCACTTAATCTCAATATAGCAAATACATACATATAGGAAAACCTAAATTAGCCTTCATCCCCAAATAACTATACTCCACTACAGTGGGACAGCTTTCCAGTCTTCCTCCAAATCTAGAAGGGAGAAAAAGAGGGGAACAGGGTGATAGAAAAACAAACTAAGGACTGTCTGCCTCTCTGTGACACGTAGCCTTGAAATTCAAGTGTGGGGAAACTGAGAATCAAATTTCAAGGTGGCTATCACTCTTGGTCACAGAATGTGAACACCATTTTTAAGGCAAGTTTTAAAACATGTTTTGTACTTACATTATCAGAAGAGAACAGTGTGCCACAAATAACATGGGAGAGTGACTAAAACAGCAAAGTGCACAGCATAGACTTCTAGCCTTCCTTCCCATTTCATAAAATATTCTAGTAAAATGGGTTCCCATCTATTTAGATGGTTTGGCCATTAGCAATGGGCTGATCAATCCAATTTGACAAAAATCACAGAAATCTGCTCATAGCTCTCATTCAACAATTATTGCTGGGTTCAAACTATACCTTACTTAAAGAACTGAAGTATACCCTAACACAGAGGTTTTCTTACAATTATATATTCCTGCTTAAAATTCTTTCTTTTGGCTTGAAATTCTCAAATATCACGTTCTGACACTCCTTGGATCTCATGGACCATGCTTCCCAGGCTGTTTTACTAGTTCTTCCACATCTCTTCAACCTCTTAATACTGCAGGGGCCTTAAACTTGGGCCTCTTCTCTACTTAAATACACAGATTAGGTGATTTTTAACTTAGTCCCAACCTTTTAGGCATTACCTAAATGCTAAGGATCTAGGTTAGATTCTTCCTCCCAATTCTAGATATATACACATAACTGTCCCTTCTAAATCTCTACTTGAATATGTAACAGACATCTCAAACTTTCCCAGATCAAACACCTGACAATCCACCTAAAATTAAGTATGTGGACCTAGAGTGATAGTTCAGTCAGCGACGTGCTTGCTATGAAAGCATGAGGACCTGAGTATCTCCAGAGCCCACAGAAAAAAGCCAAGTATGGCAGTGCACACTTTGTAATCACTGCTCGAGAGGTGGACTCAGGTGGATCCCTCGGAGTTGCTGGTCAACCAGCCTAGCCTAATCAGCAAGCTCCAGGCCAATGAGAGATCTTGTCTCAAAAAACAAGGCAGATGTTCCTGAGAAATGACATCTCTGGTTGATCTCTGGCTCCCATGTGTACCATACACGTATGCACACACAACTAAAAGTGTGCGTGTGAAGACAGGTGTGGCAGGGCATATGGCACTCAAGAGACTAATGCAGGAGAATTCCAGGTTCAAGGTCAGGCTGAACTATATAGCAAAATTCTGTCTCAAAAATTGTGAGAGCAGAAAGGGGGATATAATTATACAACTATATATAATAATATATATGCAACTACTATACATATTAAACATACAGTATATTAATAATTATATGTGTGTGGCTACAGTGATGGCTCAGCAGTTAAAAGTACTGTCTGCTCTTGCAGAAGACCTGGGTTCGGTTCCCAGCACCCACATGGCAGCTCACAAACATCTGTAACTCCAGTTCCAGGGATCCAACACCCTCTTCTGGCCTCTGTGTGCATTGCACGTATGGGTACACCTACATACATGTAAGTACATACAGGTAAGCAAAACACACATACACATTTTTTAAATATTTTTTTAAAAAAGAAAAATAATTATATATGTATATATGATTGTATCGACGTAATTTCTGTTGTCCAGAACAAGCATCTTCTTCTCACCATCTCTGACCTTACCCATGCATCTAGCACTTCTGCTTAGATTACTATAATGGACTCCTAAGTGGTTTCTCAAGCTCTTCTGGGCTCTCAATCTCTTCTCCATACAGAAACAAGACTGAATCTGAGAGTGACTATATCTGGTTCATGTCACTCCTCAACTTAAAAGGATCCAAACTGCCTCCCATGCTCATCAAGACTGTAAGCAGAAACCTCTACCATTGACCCAAAGCTCCCTTTTCTTCACACCCATGACTAGACCTTCACTCTAGAGCCAGACTACCCTCTTGCTATTCCAAAACAAGCCAAGTATATACTTCCTCGGGGCCTTTTTATTCTTGTTTTCTCTGTTCTAAATATTCTTCCTCCAGATTCAGTATGCTCCTTCATCACTATTATGAGGTAAAGATATCATATCCATTATATAAATTAGGAAACTGAAGCCTAGAGAATTACAAGTTACAATAACAAGTAAACAGTAGACAGAGTTAACATTATTCTAGGGTTACAGGAATATGTATAATTATTTTCTTGGGATTTCTAAATCAATTTTCACTTCTTTTTTTCTTAAGAAGAAAAAAAGAAGTGAAAATTGATTTAGAAATCCCCTTCCCTATCTGCACCTTTCTATGACCTCCCATCAG